GTTTATTTAGCCCCTGGTCTGTATTTTCGGTAAATCGCGTTGAGAAGGTTTAGGATGTTTTTTTAGGAACTGATACAGATACTTACTCCCCACACGTACTTTCGTCTCAGCTTTTAGTCAGAGCGGCCTTCTCTTGGATAGTTTACCTCAAAGGATTTCTGTGATCAGTCTACTCCAAGTTACTTTTGCCTACTTGTTACCCGACAGTTTCAGAATATTGATCAATATTCACCGTCAAGTAAGATGCAGACTGCCCGCTCTGTTTCAGGTTACTGTTTAGTTCCTTCCTTTTTTCGTTGTCCGTTCTTTGCGATATGGGCACCCGGGTTAGATTTGTCAGAAGCAAATTAGTTTGTTACCAATGTCGACTTGTGTATTAGGCAACAGCGAAATTTGGTTTTTGTTCGCAACCGCCTTTAGAAATTTTACAGACTGTTTTTGAGCTCACATTAGCTTGCTAAATTTTTGTCAAGCTTGGTTGCTGGGTCATAAGTAACCTTTGATGGGTACTGGCGTCCTTACGAATTTATAAACCAAATTTGCAGGAGAAAAATTTCAATTTCAGATTTGTCTTTGCAAGAGCGTTTCTGAGTTAAGTAAGGAAAGTAATTTTGGTACATAACATAACCAAAACACCCATATCTGGAAGCATATCGTAACATAAAATCTAGTTTTTATTCTCGTACTCTTCTGTTGCGTACGGGAGAGATCGTCAAGTGCCCACAAAAGACATTAAAGACACAACGCAATATCTGACTGTTCAAGACAATCTTATCATGGTGTGGCTTATGTGTCAGTTATTTATTAGTCGTTTAGAGCAGTTTTGGTAGGTCGTTCATGCTTTGTTTGTTTGTTATAGTTTTGTGCATATTACTTTGTCACTGTTATTTCGCGTTTCTTCTACTCATGCTGGAAAGCCAAATTCTTTGGCGATCTTATACGTCAGTAAACGTTATGCTAGGATTGATTCTAAAGTTGACAAACGCTAGGCTTATGTTCATTTATGTTCTTCCTTCGCAGGTTTTCATTTTTGTCGTCAGCGTGACTAGCAACACTTCGGTGTACGTAAGTGAATACAGTGACCGAACAGCAAATCGAACCGCTCTGATTGCCGTAAACAAAAATGCCACGAAAGTGCAGTACATTTTTGAACACGGTGCTTCCACCGCGATGAAAATCACAAGTAAGCAGTTGCTCATGAGTTTCACGTATGCTAAATATGTTTTAGATGAATCAGTGTGCGAGCTTATCAGCGTTTCGACCGCTAATCCACTGTTGCTTCCTAAAAGCCTAGCAGATAACTCTGCGACCTTTCTTAGTCTGTGGACCAAAATGAAAAGTTTCAAAGGCTGGACATTTGCCGAATCTGATGGCCGTAATTACATGCCATCTTACCTTTGCAAGAATTCCGTATCATCAGTGAATATCACTGTATCGATATCTGCTAAAAACTTTTCTTTACCATACAGTCCAAAGGACTCCATTCCGTTGTCTATAGAAATGGTGATCACTTCAGGTAAGCAGTACAACATTATTTGATATTACTGTAGTGACCTGCACATATTGTCCTCAGAGCCTTTCTGACCAACGCATAGGTATGAATGGTACTGTCGCATTCGCGTATTATATGAATCGATGAAAACGACCGCCGTTTAAAGCAGTTCTTAACCTTGTTCAACTTATGTATCAAGACTGGTGTCCATGTGACAAATGTTTTGAGTTAATAAAGATTTAGTCGCAATTACGTTTATGCTTTTAGTTTTCACGTAATTCATGTAACTTGTTAATAAATTTAAGGGATGATTCTCAGCATCGGTGATCTCCGTTCTGATCATCTTCATTTGAAGTTTAATTACTGTTATCGTCTCTAACGTGCAGTTGCCCTCTTTCAATTCCCGAACAGTCTCCATTTTGTTTATTAGCGGATAGTCAGTAAGTTTCGAGGACACCTTATCCTTTCGATTCGTACAGGCAAACGCGTGAGACAGTGTCTCCACCGTTTCTAATCCTGTGTCAGCGTTTGACCTTCGGCAGAAGATAACTCGAATCTGTGGCAGAGTCCTTCGACATTTGCCTCGGACTATCCCTGGGATCTTTGACCGATCGGTTGAACAATTAGTTCCTGTTTCGCCTTCATTTCTGGAAGCATTCGAAGGAGGTGACGAAACCATCGCAGCTGTAACTTCTCTATCTGCAGAAACAGCTGCTGTACACCAGGGCCCTCAGTTATATGAAGTCCGGGCCATGCCGAGTCGCGTGAGCTCAGCGACTCGTCGCAAAAACCTCATTTTAGCCGCCTCTACCGGCATTCATCTCTACCCATCATTCGTTTCAGCCGGCTTTTCACAGTCTGTCTCAGTTTCTCAGCAACCTGCGCGATCCTTCTTAACGGACGATGACCGAACCGGTATAACGTTGACTGACTGCAGTACTATGATGTGAAGGCATTTGAGTTGTACGGGAGACTTCGTCTCCAACCATTTTCTTTTCTTATCTGAGTTTTTGACCGGCACCCGCGTAGTTTTATTAGCAGATAGAGATCTTTATTTAACATTTCTGTGCAGTGATCAGTGCTGGTAGTGGAGGCTAAGCGCAGTGTATTGCTCGATCAGTAACAACGCACTCGCAGTAATTGAATTCAAAAACTAATTTAATGTTCGTAATTAGGGCCGTTATGTCAAGTACACACCTCTCTCTTGCGTAGCTGAATATTAACTTATAATAATCGTTAATCGTTATTAACCTAATATATATCGTTTTTTTATTGCCTTTTGTTTAAGTCTGTCGATTCTGAAAGGCATATTTATCGATTGTCTTTAAAAGATTTTAAATTTGATTAAGAATAACTTTTTTCGACGCACTGCTGTGAGGAAAACAAGTCTTATTAATGACAAGTTTTAATATCTGCCAGTTTTAACTCAGGGTCTCGTTCTGGAAAGTGTTTGCCGACGTTTTCATAAAGTGATTTTTCGTACAACATGGTCGCGCTAATTGCTTCCATCTTTATTGTAGGGTCGCCTGAATCTCATTTGCTTTACCGCCTGTCCGATTTCGTTCCGTCAGTCTCGAGAGCTGAAGAAGAAACCATGACGCTGGTATACAATCTTTATTAGAGATTTTTAATGTTCAGTTATTTGGAATTTTCATTTGCAAGTTCTGCATCAAAAGTTTACCGACCATATCCTTATATCGTTAACATGTTTTTACTACCATCCTGAACCATCCGCTTCTCACAGTTCGTGATGGTGTAATCACAGCGTTTAAGATGGAGAAGCTGTACAAAGCCGTTACAGGAATGATTTTAGTACGAGAGTAACAATCGTCAGAGCGAGATCGAATAACAGAACACCTCATCATCGCCATCATTTTGTATAACATTGTACATAGTACAGTTCATATACAGGTTTCTTTCCATTGCCCTTTCTCAATGATAGATTCGTTGTCACGATGTTGAAACCTTCACTCATTCTGCGAAGGGTCTAGTTATCAAGTTCACGCAGGAATTTCCAACTAGTTTCACGTGATCTTAGTTGACGGTCGCAGTAGCTGTTTTACTAGCTACTTCTGGTTGCTTGCTGTTCAGTAAACTGGTATGGTGTTTACTTTGTCACATATAGAAAAATTCGTATACCAAAACATATATTTAATCTTGTTCCTTATTGTTGCATGCCGCAGTCTTATTTTACACCTTACCTGTCTTGAATATTTGTTAGCCTCCGTTTAATAGACGGAACGGAAAATAAAAAAGTATGTCACGGAGTAACTTCCACTGATGAAGTTCTGTAATTTAAAGTACCACCTGAGCGATATTATCTCAAAGGACATCAACAGTTATCACGACCTAACCAAGGAGATTACATTGGTTTTCTACACCTTGAATAACTTAATGAAAATCCGGATTGGAAAGAGTATATCAGTCACCAACAGGTTCCTTCTTTACCGTGCTGCACTTAGGCCGGTTTTGCTTCGCGGACCAAAAAAATGCTGTTTTTACAAGATTAGACGAATGCACTGGTTGCGATGCTTGCTGAAGATCAGTTGGTACGATTGCGTCAGAAGCGACTGTGTTCTTACATTCGCTTTCTTCACTTGCATATCTGTGGTACTTCGAGACAAGGAACTGACGTGGTTCGATCTTCTGCTTATATACCGCCAAGCTTCACTGCACTGTTAGCAATTCACATGAAAACACTAACATCAGTAAACAAGGATTGCGATCCAACATGTCACGTGGCAGAACATAAAACGGAATTGTCAGTAAGATATCTTTTTGCGATGCACTAAACACTTCATAATGTCGAAATGTGAAATCCTGAGACAAGTTGCCCTACACTGCTAAAGATGATAAGGGTAAAGCATGCAATCATCAGATGGAGCCAGACCCTTTTCCTCATTCAGTTTTTACACTATGAAATGGTTCTGATTAGAATTCATTTGTTACTTGTTTCCTTGCCATTTGCCGTTATGAAGCAGGTGAAGTTGGACTCTTCAAATAGCGTTTTTAGTTTGTAGGACAACAGTTCACAGTGAAAGGTGTTAAGGGAATTTCAGTAAAAAATGATGTTCCCTTTCCCTTCCCTTTGTCGAAATATTTTATAAACCTGTAGGATAGAGCAGCGGGAACCATACTTTTTAAATATGTAGTCGTGTTTCGTCGTTGATGTAACGGAGAAAATTAAGCTGGCTCATCTATATTGTGTTTTACTGTTGTATATAGGGTTCTCACGTCTACTTTTTTCAAACAATCGATGAGTCCCGTTTTCGTAACAGTGTTGCATACTGGAGCGTTGGTTCGTTAAGCTTGATTTCAGGGATTTTCCTCAGCACACTTCGAGTCGATAATGTTTGATTAAATACCATTAGCTATGCCTGCGATTAAGCGTAGGTCGAGTAAGTGAACATTTACAGTTACATATGTCATTCACCATGCAGAATGTTGACGATGTAACGTAGGAAATCGCGATGAAATCCGCATTTTCCAACTCTTGAATGTCATAGCATTGTTAGGGATGTCACGTTTTTGTTTTCCTTGCTTAATATAGTCCATTCGGTGTCATGTGGATTTTTTTCGATCTAGCTCCAGGAGTCCCTCTTCGTTGTTCCTAGAGAGGACGGATTGCATAGTGAGAAATTACGTATTATTCGCCGTATTTATTTCTTAATCAATATGAGCGGTAGCTACTCCCATTCTTTCCCTCCGTATTTATAACGGAAGTGTTCTTCTCTTAGACAGATAAAACTACAGAGATTTATCAACCTCTGCTACCATTACTTCGTTAGTTTCCATGATAGATTTTGGTAGCTAAAGATAATCTTCACCGTAGTTTGCCTTGGCTTACGACATTTAGTTTTGGCTGGAACCCACGCTACGCCACTGAGATGCTGTGAGTGGAATGGCAGAACCAGACCTAGAGTTTCGGAATGGTCAATGCAAAATGCTATTTAAAAATTCGAAGAATTGCAAACGGTCTGTACAGTATAACTCAGTATTTTGACCTTCAGAAAAGATAAGATACGTATGCGAAGGCAATGGCGCATAAAGGAAACGGTGTTCATGCAACTGATATATCGAGGTTCCACCCTATCATTTGAATTTGTAACTTTCATTTTAGTTGTAGTCCTCTATGTAATGTTCGTATCTTTGCGGTTGGATGATTACTTAACTATTTTTATGCTTCATTGCAATATTCCTGCGTTCACTGCCTTGAATTTAGAAGCAGAATTGAGTTTTAGTAAAAATTATTTACTTCTATGTTTGGAAATTTTCACTAATTCAGTGTCAAGGCAATATAATCAGTAATCTGCTAATCTATTGGTTATGGGCTTTATCGTATCGATCGATAGTAAACGCATCTACTGCTGTGTAATATCCATTATTATTATCTAATGCATTGCATGCAGTGCCTGAACATTCACTGTGATTGCTCCATTAGCCGCACTTTACTATCTCTCATTTTCTTTGCATAGATAATCTAAGAATTTCAGTTAGTTTAATATGAGCTACATTATAGAATTTGTTTCCGCCCATGCTCCGTAGATGCCAAAATATCATGGAGCCGTAACCTGGTGAAACGGTCTGATATGCCGCTAGAAGCAATGGCTTGTTGTGCGAGACAGGAAGTGACAGGAGATTGTTATCTTTGCCGGCGGTATTGAAAATTGGAGGTTTGCCAGCAGACTCAGTACCGGCGCTGATTTTTATTAATAACATTATAAGTTTTTTTGAAAAGGCTCAGGCTCGAAGTATTTTAGTAATACAAACCCTGGAGTTACTGAAACGTTATTACCATATTCCTTAAGAAAACGGTTTATTTTCTCTGGTATACAAGAATAAACAAAATCATGATGTAAAGAAAATCATCTGCTTTAAATATTTTGTCTTGCTATTTAATATTCATTTTGAGTATTTTGGTCATTCTTTTATAGCCGCCAAGAGGTGTTTATTGCGATGGTTTCAAAAATACGACGTTGCCAGCGTTCCCATCTGAATTTTCTCTCTTAATAGAATATTCAGATTCTGAACAGAGTTCGGTTGTTTCAAGCGAAGTAAATCATTGTTACCGTTTTTTTCATGAGTGATTTAAATTTTCTTCCAGTTGCTCTATGCGCCAGCGAGCCATATGATAGAATTTGTGTATGATGGCAATGCCACGGATATCCAGTTCAGTCAGGGTCTGCAGCTCCATCAGGAACGATTCTATGTCATTCATGATTTCGTTACTGGTAAAATACGGATCTGCTTCAGAATATTGGTCTCAGTAATACTGGCTTTGTTTAGGTTTGCAATTCTTGATTCAGACAGGTAACAGGGCATGCTACGAAATCAGCAAAATACCTTCATCGGCCGGTGATGCCACTTCTGACAAATCAGTATTGGAGATGAAAAGTTCCCAGGAAATTTTACTTCCCGCTAAGAATTTGACCTTCGTTCTGGTCGGAACCGTAAGTTTCCTGCTGTCCAATACATTCCTGATCGAACCATCAACTGAATGTTTAGAGGTGGAAAGGCGATGTTGATTATTCGGTATTGATGGCGGAGAGCCACGAAAACAATACGATGTCAACTGTTTATGAGCTGTGGTTCCGCGAAGTTTGTCGCTTTCTTTCATCGTCCTTGGTCGACTATTAAGAAATATTTTTTTAGCGCATCACTCCTGATAAAAAAGACTTGCCAGAGTTCCTGTACATATATCACAGAGTGAGTGAACGGCTGCACGGTTAGGATAAAGTGAACGGTACAACTAAGATGAATAACGCAGGGAGCATGGAAATTTTAGCGGCGGTATTTGAAAAGCAGTTTTTAACGTCGACGCTCGTCTTCGTACGCGATCGTCCTTCTTAAGGCTACCGTCAGAATTAACAACAGAAATGGTTGACGTTATCTAGTTGATTTAATACTTTGACTTTTACCAAATTGTGATTCTGGAAAAAGTATCGTTATTGTTTTCAAATGGCAGTTTTACAAATGAAAGCCTCTAAACGCAAAGATTTGAAAAAGGTATTTTTGGATATAATTATTTATTCTGTACGTATAAGACGCACAACCTACCAGGATAAAGGAGATATTTTTGCTTTAAAACGCTTTAGTGCTCATCCTTTAGGACTCTGTTCGTTCCCCATTGCTTTCAGCCGTCTGTTTTTAGACAAAGAACCATTTAACGTTTTACACAAAGCAGCAGTTATTTACGACTTCTGATGTTACTGCAACTCGAAACGCTTCGTGGAGTCGTTACGACGTTAAGCCATGTTTGGAGTTACACAACAACCAGTCTTATTTTATTGCTCTGGTGGATGGTAAGTAACGACAGGTATTTTAGCTCTGCTGTGTGAAACTTCAAACAAATAACTGATATATGGTTTATGCATGAAAATTGCTATCCCTTGCTGAACCTCGACTTTTTTATCGTTGAACTTGGCAACGAACTAAGTACCGGAGCGCATCACATGGCAAAGCATTATAGAACGTATACTCTTGAACCAGTAGGTAGCGATAGAGACCATAAAGTCCCCGATCAGGTGATGCTGTGATAACCACACCTGTCAAAGCTCCTAATTCCTTTTGTGGCAGATGTGTCTAGGA